CAATCAGAGAAAGATAGATATCATATGATTTCACTCATATGTGTAATTTGAGACTTAACAGAAGACCTAGGGGAAGGGAAGGAAAAATAATTACAAACCATAAGAGACTCTAAAATGCCGGGAGCTGCACCGGCCTCTCTGGATGGCAATCACAGCAAGGAAATGGCAGTGTTTGCACAGCTCCTGCCATGAGAAATGAAAACTGGTATCTCCTTCTGCTATTATTGGCTCATGTTGGAAATGAGGCTACTGGTATTGACCAGGCCTCACAATATTCCATATCAGACCAATGTTCTGAACATAGATACCTCATAAGGAAAAGCATATTCCTGCCTTTACAAAAGAGATTTTAGATGAAAGCTCTGTGGGTGATTGTCAAAAGGCTCTTCCTATGGGCCTTGCAGACCCTAGACTTAGATAATAAAGGGGGTTAAGAACACAAGAATTACAATTGAGCCCCGAGACAAAGAGCCTATTTTGGGGTTAGGGCAGAACATAGTTACTACATATATCTTATATATCTTTGCTAATTGGTGAAGCATAGCAGTCCCTTCCTCAAGGCCTACATTCCACAAACACCTTCCCTTGCACTGGCAGCTGGGATGAGAATAGATAAGAGTAGCTAAAACATAAACCCAGGTGCAAAGACTGACACATTTAGGGCCCCCATGATAGTTTCTACAAACAAACCAATTCAGAAACATTCATCCTCTTGAAAGCCAGACAGAATGACTCCTAGCTTATCTATATACAATTTAACCTATATGTTATCCTGTTTTTCACTAAGAGCATCCTGTTAATTCTTTCGTTGTAAATTCACTACGACTGGGATAATTCTGCAGAATATCAAAAACTTGTTATCGCAAAAGGCATCCCATTGTAGAAATTCCTTTCTCTGACTTCATGTTTTTCCTGAACCTTTAAATAAAGACACCAAAACCGCCAGGACAGAGATGGCTGCCTGGTGATCAGAAAGAATCTCGGGGCTCTCTCACTCTCTCTCTCTCACCGACACTGTCCATCCTTCAGGGACCCCTGGACCAGCCAGAGCCGGCTCGGCCTCCTGCACTTAAATACAGAGAATAAAGTGAGGGCTGATGGAGGTGGGGAGTGGGAAGGGGGTGAAAGGGAGGCGGGCATTGAGGAAGGCACTTGTTGGGACGAGCACTGGGTGTTGTATGTAAGGGATGAATCATGGGAATCTAATCCCAAAGCCAAGACTACATTGTATGTTAGCTAACTTGACAATTAATTATCAAAATAAAAAATAAAGAAGTTATTACCTATTTTTTCAAGCTATTCCAAAAGAATGGAAAAGGAAAGAAAACTTCCAAATGCATTCTAGGATGCCAGCATTACCCTAGTACCAAAAGAGTAAGATGTTACAAAAAAAGAGAGCTAAGTCCAATATATCTTGTAAACATAAAAGCAAAAATCCTCAACAAAATACTAGGAAACTGAATCTAACAATACATTAAAGCCACATTCACTACCATCAAGTGGGATTTATTCCTGTGTTCCAAGTGTGGTTCAATATTTGCAAATCAATCAACATCATATACCACATTAATAAAAGTAAGGACAAGAACCATACCATTATTTCAATAGATGCATAAAAAGCATAAGTAGAACATCCATTCATGATAAAAAATATTCTCAATTCTCAATATATTAGGTTTAGGAGGAGACATACCTCAACATAATGAAGGCCATATATGAAAAACCCACAACTAATATCATCCTTAATGGGAGAAAACTGAGGACTTTTCCTCTGTGGTCAGGAACAAGACAAGGATGTCTACTCTCACCATTTCCTCAAGATAGCACTGAAAATCCCAGTTACAGCAATCAGACAGCAAAAATAAATAAAAAGCATCTAAATTGTCAGGAAAGAAGTAAAACTTTTATTATTTGCAGATGACATGATACTGTATACAGAATACTCAAAAGACTCCACCAGAAAACTGTTAGTACTGATAAATTCAGCAAAGTCTCAGGATAAAATAATAATAATAATAATGTACAGAAATCTGTTGGATTTCTATACACCAAAAGTGAAGAAGCAGAAAGAGAAATAAAGAAATTAATGTCATTGACAACTGCACAAAAATAATAAGATACATAGGAATAAACCTAACCAAAGATGTGAAAGACCTGTTAACTGTGAAAACTATAAAACACTGATGAAAGAAATAAAAGATGACATAAAGAAATGGAAAGACATTCTATGCTCATAGACTGGAAGAACAAATTTTGTCAAAATGTCTATATTCCACAAAGCAATCTACACATTTCATGCAATCTCTATATAAATACCAATATCTATTTTCACAAGGCTAGAACGAACAATACTAACATTTGTATGGAACCACAAAAGAGCCCAAACAGCCAAAGCAATCTTGAAAAAGAAAAGCAAAGCTAGTGCATCACAATTCTGGACTTCAAGTTAATATTACAAAGCTATAATAACCAAAATAGTATGGTACTGGCACAAAAACAGACACAAAGATCAAACGTACAGAACAGAAACCCCAGAAATGAACCCACAACTATATGGTCCATTAACCTTCTGCAATGCAGGCAAGAACATTCAATGGGAAAAAGATAGTCTCCAACAAATGCTGTTGGGAAAACTGGACCGAAATAGGCAAAAGAAAAAAAAAAGAAATATGCAAAGGAATGAAACTGGACCACTTTCTTACACCATACACAAAAATTAATTCAAAATGGTTTAAAAACCTAAATGTGAAACGTGAATATAAAAATCTTAGAAAAGAGCACAAGCCGGAACTTCTTTGACACTGCCCATAGCAGCTTCCTTCTAGATGAGTCTTCTGAGGCAAAGGAAACAAAAATAAACTATTGTGACTACATCAAAATCAAAAGCTTCTGCACGGCAAAAATAATCAATCAATCAATTAATTAATTAATTAATAATCAACAAAATCAAAAGCAATCTGCAGAATGGGAGAAGAAATATGGTAATGACATATTCAATAACAGGTTAGTATCCAAAATATATAAAGAACTTCTAAAACTCAATACCCAGAAAGTGAATAATCCAATTAAAAATGGGCAGAAGATATGATTACGTATTTTTCCAAAGTAGACATACAGACGATGAAGAGAAACATTTAAAAAATGTACAGAAATGTAAATCAAAACTTCATTGAGATATCACCTCATACCTGTCAGAATGGCTACAATCAACAACACAAGAAACAACAGGTGTTGTTGAGGATGTGGGAAAAGGGGAATGCTTTTGTACTGTTGGTGAGAATGCAAACTTGTGCAGCACTCTAGACAAAGTTAAAAACATGACTACTCTATGATCCAGCAAGTGCACTATTAGATATTTACCTAAAGAATATAAAAAACACTAACTCAAATACATACACCTCATTGTTTATAGCAGCATTATCTACAATAGCCAAATTATGGAAATGGCCCAAGTGTCCACTGACTAACAAATGGATAAAGAAGAGGTGTATATATATATATATACAGTGGACTATTACTTAGTCATAAAAAGAATAAAATCATGCCATTTGCAATGATATGGATGAAGTTGGAGAGTATTGTGCTAAGCAAAAGAGGGGTGTCAGAGAAAGACAAATACCATATAATTTCACTCATATGTGGAATTTAAGAAGCAAAACAAAGGAGTAAAGTGAAAAAAAAAGAGAGAGAGAGACAAACTAAGAAACAGTCTCTTAACTATAGAGGTGTTACCAGTTTGTGGGTAGGGAATGGGTTAAATAGATGATGGGGATTAAGGAGGGCACTTGTGATGAGCACAGGGTGAAGTATGGAAGTGTTGAGTCGCTATATTGTACACTTGAAACTAATATTACACTGTATGCTAACTAAGTGGAATTTAAATAAAAACAGACAGAAAGGATATACTCATTGAGAACTGTTGAGGATGCACATAATATGTGGGAGACATGCTTTAAGAATACTCATTGTCAGTGATATTCCAGCAGGACTAGAGAAGAGCCCAGTAAAATGACTATTAGAGAAAGGTAAGAGAGAAAAACAAAACAAAAAACACATGAGCTGCATGATTACACTAGTACCAGGCATCAGGTAAACTGAGACAGATGTTATAAGTATCCAGATGTTATAAGTGCCAGAGGACTTCCATCTGCCAATATCTGCATATTGATGTCCAGAACCTTTTCTCAGAAGTCCACTCTGTTTGATGTATCTCTGCTAGAAAATCAACTCTCTTCCACATTAATCCTAAACTAATGATGAGGAGGAGTATATTGCTTTCCAGTCTCCTTAATGGAAGTAAGCCATTGGAATTATTGGCCACCTACCTTTCCCTGTACCACTTTCCCTTCATGTTCCCCAACCTAGTAATAAACTACTTTCATCTGAATATTCAAATTAGGGTCTGCTTCAGTGGGAGTACAAGTTAGGCACTGACTCATGATGAATGTTTGCATTTAGAAGATCATGGTAGCAGTTTAAAAGGTTTTGAAGAGTACTAGGCCAATGCCAGTAAGTCATGCATTAATTCATTTAGTACTTGCTGAATTTTTACCAAATGCTAAGGACTGCATTAGAGGCTACAAATAAAAGAGTGAATGAAACCAAACGTAATATCCACTGTAGTGAACCTTGTATTCTAGGAAATATTTTACTTAGTAAGACAGCCAACTGTAAAAATAACAACAGACACAAATGCTGCAGAGTAGAGGTACATAGTAAAGTATAAGTATGAGGATATATAGCATAAGAAATGGAGTCAGAGAGGCTGGCTAAGAATTTGACAAATAGCATCTATGTTGAGATTCAAAAGAAAAAAGTAAAACATACAAAAACTTTATGTTAAAAGGAAATATGTGACATGACGGAGACAGAAAGAACAAGAGTGTGAGCCAAAGGAGAAAAGAGCTTTAAACGACCAGAAATGGCAGAATCTTACATGATATCTTAAGGGATGAGTTTGGTAGCAGACAAGTAGCTGTTCAATTAAAACTGTATCTAACCATTTATAATGGCAAACTGTCCCCAGAAGTGGATTCGCATTGAAGCAACATATCCCCAGACAAAATTCAGTAAGATCCCAATTATTTCTGGCCAATGGAAGATGTTAAAACTGATGTGCATATTTGAGATAACATGTTTAAGAAGCAACGTGACTTCTTCACCCTTCCTTTACTTTTCCATCAGAATGCAGAGAAGTCTGAGTCATGACGGTGTAGAACCTGGGTTCTTACATCATAATGAGGCTGAACCTTGCCTACCAGTAACACCTGTTTTGTTCTGCTGCATGAATGAGAAGTAAACTTCCACTGTGTTAAGTGAATAAAATTTGGGATCCATGGGCTACAGTAGCTATTCTTTCACTACCTAATACAATATTTATTCTAAGAGAAATAAGCATTAAGAAATAAGCCTTTAAAAGTTTTTAAGCAATGGAATAGATGTCAATATGGTTGGTTTGTGAAAAACATTCCTTTTGCTACAGACTGCAGATGAAATTTGCGAGTAGGCAGAGTCGGTGCAGGTTTTCTAATTAGGAAGCTTTTAGACTGGTTATGATAAGAGTTGATAATAACCTGGAACTTGTGTAAGACCAACTCTTGGTTAGCAAAACCTATCCTTTTTAAATTTATTTTTTAATGTTTTTTTATTTATTTTTGAGAGCAAGAGAGAGACAGCATGAGCAGGAGAGGGTCAAAGAGTGAGGGACATACAGAATTCGAAGACAGGCTTCAGCTCTGAGCTAGTTGTCCGCAGACAACTTGAACCCATGAACCACGAGGTCATGACCTAAGCCAAAGTCAGATGTTCAACTGACTGAGCCACTCAGGCGCCCCAGCAAAACCTATCCTTAAGTTTTGCTTGCAAAGGGAAGAAAACAGTTCATGACTTAACAACATGTTCTTTCTTGATGCAAAACCTCTCATTATTTTCTTTTGCCATGATATGTACGATATAACTAATGGGGACACCATTAACTAAAGAAAGTTGTTGGCACAGACGACTCAGGAGCCTGTATTTCACAATCTGTAAAATATAAAACATACATTCACTTATGCATCTCATTTCTTTGTATTGCAAACTGTCAACTGAGTCAACGTTTCTAAAAATCATTAATTTAATGAAATGGTATATGTGCTAGAAGTGATAAAATGTTAATGAAGATAATAAAGCATAGAATCATATTCTTTAGGCTTAAAGTATACTTCAATTAGTCACCAGTGTGGCAATTAGTAAAAATGACATGAAAATGATACAGATCATGTTGATGATATTAAATTCAGGAAACGAATGCATATGGATAATTCTAAATTTGCACTGGTTGATTGAAAATATTTTCAGAGACCTTTACTCCACAGTGATATGAATGAGAATGTTGCTTCATATCATTGGGTACTATCACTATGAACAGCATGATACTGTAGATCTGACAAGATAGGATTCCTACCGCCTGGTGACTAAACATCCAAATGTCACTGCTTCTTACCAACGAGAGACAGATCTCACAGTTTTAAACTGTGCAAATTAACAGAAACTGTTTTCTATCTAAATCAAAACAGTTTGCCATTATAAATGGTTAGATACAGTTTTAAGTGAACAGCTACTTGTCTGCTACAAACCCATCCCTTAAGATAACATTTATCCATAAAAGCAATAGTTGTATTGAGCCTTGTCCACACCATCTCTTTAAAGGACTACCTTCAAGGGCATTTAGGTCGCTCAGCTGGTTAAGCATCTGACTTCAGCTAGGTCAGTATGTCAGAATTTGTGAGTTTGAACCTGGTGTCAAGCTCTGCTGACAGCTCAAAGCCAGGAGCCTGCTTCAGATTCTGTGTCTCCCTCTCTGCCTCTCCCTGGCTCATGCTCGCTCTTTCTCAAAAATAAATATATATTAAAAAATTTTAAAGAATTACCTTCAAATGCATAAAGATCAATTGAAAGTTTTGGGAAACATGGCATATTCCACAGTACACCCCATATGAACTACTAGGTACAATGATGTACCATTCTAAGATGACCTGGAGTTATTTTGCCATTCATTCATTTATGCATGCATGCATTCATTCCACCAGTAAGTAGAATTATCATCTCAACTCTGTCTTTTTCCAGCTGTGTGATCTTGATTAAGTTCTTTAACCTACCTGGGGTTAGTAACTGATCTGCCTAATTACATGTTTTTCCCAGCATTAACTAAATCAAATTTCAAAATATGTGAAAGTATTTTATTAAACTGTAAAGATCTGTACTAACATGTTTGCATCTTTCTTTTTTTTTTTTTTAATATTTTTATTTATTTCTAGGAGAGAGAGAGAGAGACAGCGTGAGCAGGGGAGGGTCAGAGAGAGAGGGAGATACAGACTCTGAAATAGGTTCCAGGCTCTGAGCTGGGAGTCAGCACAGAGCCCGACCCGGGGCTCGAACCCACGAACCGCGAGATCATGACCTAAGCGAAAGTCGGACGCTTAACCGACTAAGCCACCCAGGCGCCCCAACATGTTCGCATCTTAAATCATTATGGGAAGTGCCAAAACTTACTTGCATGCTTTCTCATCTACAACATAATATTGTAAGAGAGATCTCAAAGGGAATTCTTTTGTGAATCTTAGCATACTAACAATTGAAAAACTCTAATTGTATACAAACTGGCCATGAAGCTGTGAATGTAAATGCTGCCTTTTCTGAGTCATTCCCTCCATGGTAATCCCTAATCCTGCAGAATTATTGTCTCCTGTGTTAGTAATTGCAAAGCAATTCTTCCTAGTCTTTAAAGTGAATTAATTCCTGAGATTCATAATGAACACCGGACAACCACTGGATCATACTATGTTGTAATACATTAACACATCAATGCATTTAACGTGATCATGAATCTTCTGTTGCAGAACATCTACTTCAGTTCCATTATCTTGAAAGCACAAATGAATCTGAAGGTGAGATTAACAAGATATGACAATGTAAATCAGCTGCCAGATCCACCCCACACATGGGAGGTACCCACAGAGAGACAATTTAACATATAATAAAGGGAGTTTTTCCCTCTCTTATTTCTCTCCCATTTCGCCAACACACAGAAAAAGATATCATTCCTCTCGTTAAACGTAAATTGATTTTTTGGCTTAAGAGGAGGATCTCCTAGTAAAAGCTGTGCATTCAAGAGTATAATGAGATTGATTCCATGCTTTGTGAATAAAAACACATAGCATTTAAATTTGGCTACTTCAAGGATGAGTGAATGATTAAGATGAGCACATATGTTGAAGAAGCAAGTTAAATGAGAAATTGTTAAAGAGGAATACCATGACATGTCAAACAATTGAAATGTCATTTAGAGATGGGATTTAATGGGCAAGTGTTAATCTACTTCCCGATCTATATTGTGAGCCAAGCAAGACCAGCTTCAGTACTACCCCAAGATCACCAGTGCCTCCTTTATACAAAATAATTCTCACTGTCTGGCATCATATATCACATGAGGATATGTAGGTTATTTATTTTAAATAAAATTCATGATAAAACAGTCAGGTTGTATTTCTCATGTACTTTGATAATTAGGTCACAATGAGTTAGTTGTTGTTGGCTTTCTTCCATCACAGGAATGTTGTTATCTTGAGAAGAATCAATTTGCAAAACCATGAAACCACCCACAGTTGGGATTAAAAGAAATATTTCTTTATACTGTACTGAGTATCTTTAGTCTTCTTTCTTTCATATATGCTTTGTTATACATAGGCTGCATTTATTAATATGTATTTACTCTGTTCTCTTCACTAAGTACTAGGAGTTAAAAATTTAAGAGTTAATATGAAGTATGGCCTAAATGCCAAAAGGGATAATAGCTACTTCATAAACCATACTTTATGAGCAAATATGTACAAATATGTGCATATATTTATTTTTATTTATTTACATTTATTTTGAGAGAGAGAGAGTGCATGTACAAATGAGCAGAGCAGAGGCAGAAAGAAAGGGAGAGAGAATCCCAAGCAGGCTCCTGGAGCCCGACATGGGGCTCAAACTCACCCTGAGATCATGACCTAAGCCGATATCAAGATTCGGACACTTAACTGACTGAACCACCTAGGCGCCCCCAAATTTGTGTATTTAGTTTGACACAATTGCATCATACATGTGGGTTTGTGTATTCACCACCATAGTCAGGAGGCAGAACAGTTCCATCAGCACAAGTGTCCCTCATGCTGTTCTATCCATACCAACCATATCCACTTCTCACGTTGTCACCACTTCTTCCCTAAACCACTGGCAACCTCTGTGCTACAGTTTTAAAACTGTCTTTTCAAAATATAATCAAAACAGTTTTACATAGTATGAAACCTTTTTGTATTGTCCTTTTTTTTTTACTCAGAATTATCTGGAGATTCATACAAATCACTGCATTTATCAATAGTTTATTTTTACTATTGAGTACTATTTCATGGTATGGATGTATAACTGTTAGCTCATTCCCCAGTTAAAGATATCTATAGGGGCCCCTGGATGGCTCAGTCAGTTAAGCATCCACCTTTAGCTCAGGTCATGATCTCAGGGTTGGTGAGATCGAGCCCTGCATCGGGCTCTGTTCTGATGGCTCAGAGCCTGGAGCCTGCTTCACATTCTGGGTCTCCCTCTTTCTCTGACCTTCTCCTGTTCATGCTCTGTCTCTCTCTCTCTCTCTCAAAAATAAATAAGCATTTAAAAAAATAAGATATTTATATTATCTCCAGTTTGGGGCTATTATTAATAAGTTGATATGAACATTTGTGTGCACATGTTTGTGTTAATAAACATATAAGTTTCAGGGTACTATTCCTGTATTGTACTGTAACTACATGTATAGTGTTACAGCAAACTGCCAATCTCTTCTCCAGACTTGCTGTAACATTTTACATTCCTAAAATGTGTAGATGATCTAATTTCTCTAATTCCTCAAATTCACGTAGTATTATTACTATTTTTTATTTTAGTCATGTTGATAGGTGCAGTAATATTTCACCATGTTTTTAATCTGCATCTCTCAAATGGTTAATTATGTTGAATGTCTTTTCATATGCATATTAATCATCTGTATATCCTATTTGGCGAAATGTCTCTTTACATCTTTTACCCATTTCCAAATTGGAAATTTCTAAGTATTTCATTTCTCTTGGATCAACTGTAAA